CTTTATAAAAAAATCACTCTCATTCAAACAAAAAATTCTCTGAAACTGACAGTATGATTTTTTGATTGACTTCATACAGGAGCTTCTTAGGAAAAATAAATGAAGCTAGCATTATCCTTTAATTTCACTTTCCGCTATGTAGATGATGTCCTCTCACTAAATAATTCAAAGTTTGGTGACTATGTTGATCGCATCTATCCCATCGAAATAAAGGATACAACAGATATAGTTAAGTCTGTCTCATATATTGACTTACATCTAAAAATTGAAATGGGGATCGATTGAGAACAAAGCTTTACGACAAAAGAGATGATTTCAGCTTCCCAATTGTGAACTTTCCATTTCTATGTAGCAACATTCCAGCAGCGCCTGCATATGGAGTATATATCTCCCAGTTGATACGATTTTCCAGGGCTTGCGTTTCTTATCATGATTTTCTTGATAGAGTGTAGCTTCTCGAAAGGAAGCTTTTAAACCAAGAGTTCCAATTGGTGAAGTTGAAACCATCCCTTCAAAATTTTACGGACGCCATCAAGAGTTGGTTGACCGTTATGGAATATCTATTTTACAAATGACGACGGATATGTTCCAATCGTCATAACTGCAATCCCGTCCTCCTTTTCCCCGAATATGACCTAACGAATTAGACTTATCACCGGGTTTGTACTTACATGAACAACACGACAGGTGTCATGTGTTGAGCAGGATTTGCTTATCCTTTCGGAGCACCTGAGATCGCCCCTGTTTTTGATGGGGTCCGTGTTGCTCAGTCTTTAGTTTTCTATGTTGTATTTTGTATACTGTTGTTTGTCTTTTTGGTCTTTTTCTTTTTTAGCCATGGCGTTGTCAATTTATTTTCTTCTTATGAGTTTGAATGTCCTGTTGGTATCTTTTGTCTCTCTTTTCCAAAGAACAGCGCCTTTTTATTGTTGAATAATTATTTTAAATGTTGCTGGAGGTTTAAACTCATCATTTATTTATTGCTCAAAAAGTCTCATCAAACTAACATTTATTAGGCATTCATAAAGGATTAAAAAGACATGTGCAGGAAAACGTCACAAAGAAAAGTATTTTCCCATCTTGTACTATAATATGAATTTGCTGTTGTCTAAGGTATTATAAATATACCAAAAATCCATTAGGTCATAATCTTAGAACCTATGGGTAACTTTTTGTCTTTTTTTGTCCTACAAACAATTAAAAGTCATTTAAATAAACAGATATATTACCATTTTAAATACAGGACTTATGTAATCTGACATAAGAACAAAGAGGACAGAATTGTTAACTTCAAGCATGACACTAGTATTTATGGTCCTGTATAATTTTAGTGATAAATTTAGCCGCAAATAAAAGCTTTCTTCATCAAATTTATATCTGAAATAAAGTTTGTCGTGGTGTAAGGAAAATTATTTTGATGGTTTAATGAAAATATAGGGTTTCATTAATTTTGTAATTGCCTATGAATTTGAAATGCACATGCATTAATATGAATCAATTACTCATTAAGTCATTAAAAAAGTACATGACTTACTATTTCTTCTTAAAAATATTATAAATACTGCATTAATTTCTGACAAATATGATAGACAAAAATTTAAAATGGCGTTGTCATCGTAACTTATTTGCAGTGACGCCGTTTGCAATGATAACAAAACTGCTCGACATTAGTTTATATGATCTGAAACATTAAATTTCTGAATTGACCAGTTGAAGAGGTCGATTGTAGGCAATGCGATGAACAAAAAAGTATAAATTGTGTGTATCCCAAATGATTGTGTTAATTAAACGATTGACCAGAAAAAGCTCATAACGAAAAAAGATAATACTAAATTTAGAATATGCACATTTTGAATATTAGAATAGTAAGAGAGATACGCTATCAAATTCCCTTATCTCAAGTATCACAAGAAGCGGCAATGAACATCAAACAATTAGATGTTCAAAGAAGGAAGAATTTGAAGAGTATTCATTACCTATCTTCCTAAAATTGAAACATGTTTGTACCAAGTAAGAGCATAACAAAATTTCTGAATTACAAACATGATAAAGTTTAAACCATTGAAAACCAAAAGTTCCAGAAACGAAAAAATAATAGCCTGATTGAACTAAACAAAATTAACAAAACTTATGAGGATTTATTTTTGATAGACGATATGCAGACAATTGCCTTTGATTTCGCCATGTTTGTTATTTTACTTTTTGCCTATTGAGGTAAACGTAGCTATACGCAACTGTCATACTATGTAATTGAAACGTAAACTTAAAAGCGTCTGTGTAAGTGTAATGATGTTCTAGGAAGGTTTGACAAAGTTATTGGTGTCTACAATAATATAACCCATAGACAAAATTATCAATGTCAAAAAGTCTTTAATCCCAGACTGTATCTAAATAGTAACTTCAAACAATCTAAGTCATTTTATCAGTAAAATACGAAAAGATTTACAAACAATATTCAAAATTTTTCTCTTGATATTATCTTTTAATCATGAAGAAGCATCTATCCTAGTTTTGTCAAATTACATGAAGGTTTGACAAAGTTATTGATGTATCTCAATATTAACTGTAAAAAAAAACTAATATTCGATAATGATATGTCGTTTGATTGCCAGTGAGACACCTGTCAACCAGAGACCAAATGACATAGAAGGTCCTCACCGTGTGTAGCCATCAACAATGAGCAAAACCCATTCCGAATAGTAAGCTAAAAAAGGCCTTTACATGTCAAATTTTGTTCTGTATACTATTCTGTCTTAATCATTGAAAGGTTTCTGCCCCAGTTCCTTAAACTTACCTTTAAGATTCGGCAAACAAAAAGAAACTGATCAAAGATACCAGAATTATAATTGTGAACGCCAGACGCCCGTTTCGTCTACAAAAGAATCATATCAGAATGATAATGGGTAACCATTGTAGGCAAAATGTTGTGAGGGTGAGAGAACCAGCCTACATACAGACATTAATTTTTAAACTCATGCAAGATTGTGCTTTCGGTAGAACAATACCGATGCTTACAAATGTAAAAAATACTTATCGATGCTTAAGAATGGAAATAGTGTTGATGTTTTTCGAATAAGCATGACGAAAATCAAATGAAAAAGTCCGATTACGATCATTTTGACACGTCCTACTATGATCTAGTATTAATTAGATATACAGAAAGTGCACACTTTCGTTTTTCTGTTGATATTTTATTTCTGGATCAGTAATATTTTACTGTATTCTTTACTTTTGCACAATTTTCTTTATAATTCAGGACCCTATTATTCGCTGCGATGGGGCAAAGAAGTCCTCACTCCCCTGCATCCATTTTCATGCAATAGTACTTGCTTGCTTTCACAGACTGTTAACATCGGTTGATATGTAGTTATCAAGTACATTTTGCAATGTGTTTTGTTGGTCTATCTTATTTTTTGCCACTACATTTTGTTATTAAATAACTATTTGAACCCAAACCTCGTGTGTATGTTCCTGTGCTTAAAAACTTATAAACCTTATATAAGAATAAGAAGATTTGGTATGATTGCTAATGAGACAACTATTCCCCAGAGATCAAATGACGTGGATATAAGCAAGTCAGTGCCCTGTAATTCAGTGGTTGTCGTTGGTTCATGTCTGTCATATTTGTACTTTGTAAATTGTATTGTTATACACTAAGGCCGTTAGTTTTCACGTTTGAATTGATTTTTCAAAATTTTTAGGTCGGGCCTTTTATTGTTGACCTATAATTTAACAATGAGAAAGCAGCAGCGGGATAAATTTCAGAGGTATATGTCTGTATATGGCATAACCGCTGTATGACCGTATATGATAACCATCAAGAATGTCTGTCGTAGAAAGCTCCCATATGTAGACGTATATGTTTTGATAAACTTTAGGTAACACATGGTTAAAGTTTGTAAACATTTTCAAAAAACGATTTAATCCAATAAAAGAGAGGCGTAAGATACCAAAGGGATTTTTAAACTCAAAAGTCGAAACAAACTGACAATGCCATGGCAAAAAAACGAAAAAGGACGAAAAAACAAACAACACAAAACAATACATAGATAATTATTTAGTGAACGGATATCATCTATATAGCGGAACGTAAAGTTAAAGGATATTGCTAGCTTCTTTTCATTTTTTCTATGAAGCTTCTGTATGAAGTCAGTCACATATGAATAAACCAACAAGTCGCCAAGAAAAGGAGCGCAGTTAACACGTCCTCCAAACGTAACAAATATGTTGTCAATCAAGAAACCAAGCATCTTGATACTGTCAGTTTGTATCCGATTTGTTTTTTACAAAGTACGATTTATTCCTCACCAAGACAAGATACTTGTACCTACGCTGCCCATTCTTTTTTATGAAACAAAATAGGACCAATTCTTTCAATTTGTCTTTAAGTTTGGAATGAGGATTATTGTGTAAATGGTAGAAAAGTCAACTGTTTTAAAATAGTATTGCAAGAGGGAAGAGACTTAGATTGCATGTACTCTTACAGACCTTTGGAAATTTTAGATACCCACATCTGATTCACGCCGCCCCTAGAGTAGGTTGTTTCATAATATCTTTGAAGCACGGCTTTGATCGTTGATAAAATTGATGTTGTTAATTTAGAAATAATTAATAATTTTAAACATTTATAAAATGGTCAATTCTGTCCCGAATTCGTCACTTAGAACGGAAAAAAACGCAGTATTGATCTGACTGCACGATAATTTTTATCTTTGTTTACGACTGCGAAACACAGCTGATTTGCAAAACTTTTCATATACATGTCACTATATATCATATGCTGTTTTACAACAAGGAAATCTATATCTAAAAGCCAAACTGACCGAGTAGGTTGGGGCACTGGAAGCAGTTGCTGCGTTGTCACAAAACATGAGTTCAAATCCTGCTGAGAAAAAGCAAACACTTGCTACCACAAGGGGTAAGGTGTTCTAAGAACCTTTTTGGGCTTTATAATTTCCCTTTTCACATTAGATAGATGAAATTGAAAAAAAAAATTAAGATAAATGTTAGAATACATTACTGTTGTTAAAAATATAACAGGCATTTTTTTTTTTACAAAACTACATAACTAGCATTTAAGGCTTTTAAGATAGGTTGTAAAATAGAATATATCCACGATTATTTGTAAGTGTAAGTTTCTCTTTCTTCCTATCAAACGCGAGTCCGTAGGGTAAATCAATTCCGTCCCTGTGATCACCCAGCTTTCTTGATTGATTCCCATCCGCAGATAATACAAATAAACTATTGTTACCATACGAAGCAATGTAAACGTTATAGTCTTTATCTACAGATATTCCTTGCGGCTTACATATTGATTCATTTAGGCATTCCCAAATCTTCTCTCCAGTTATTTTTAAGCATGCAATGGTATGTTTGGAGTAATTTGTGTAGAAAATCCGGTCTCCATATGTTACTACATAACTCCAGCAGGACATGGTGTCTTCTTTAACCAAAAGAGACGTACAATTGCCTGACACATTTACTCTCTGGATACCTTTGCCAACATTACAGTATATCAACTCGCCATCTCTGTAACATACACCGTAGCACGAATCAGTTGTTTTAATTGTGCATTCAACAGTTTTAGTGGTAATGTTTATGATTTGTATTTGTTTTGAAATGGGAAATGATACAGCTACTGTCTTTTCATCAATAAATGTACCGTCTGCTGGAGTCTTAGTTGTAAGGGATATTTCAATCTTTAAGGTTCCATCTTCCTTTAAAATCAGAAGACGACTTTTTTGATTGTCTATAAGAGCAATGTCTCCAGTTAAAGAAATGGAACATCCTGTGGCACCAGTAGATTTGAGTTTTCTTTGCAATGATATCTGAAGACCATTAATTGTTGTCAGTTGTGCATTTTGAAAATATCCTAGCTGTGCTTGCTTTTCCCTAACTGTCTGCAGAACCACTAATGTAGGACTCGATTCGAGTGATATCGAACCCAGTGAAGTAACTTTGGACAATACATTGGTTATCTCGTCCTCAATTTTACAGGTGATGACTATCTTCTGTAAACTTCCGTCGTCAAATAAAGACTGAATAAATATTTCATGCTTCTGAATTTCTGTCTCAATCATTTTACTCCCAAGAAATGCTTGAAGGTCTGACGCATATTCTTTGATAGCTGACATATTAGTTTGCAATAGACCCACCTTTTCCATATTTACAACAAGTTTTCCCAGTATGTCTTCTATTTGTGTTTTAATTTTCGTTTCGGCAGCATAAAGGTCCTGTAGTATTCGTTGTTCTAAGCTGTCGAGGTGCTCGTTTATATTATTACGGACCTGTTTTATCTCGTCATGAATCTTGTGCCTTTGTTTCTGGATTTCAGCAATATTTTGTTTCCGATCTTTAACAACTCTCTCAGCATTCATTTTGATATCTTTCAGATTGTGATCAAGACGTTCAAATAGGACTGAAGTCTTTGCTGTTTGTATGACATTCTCCAGCGATAATATCCCAACACAGGCAGCATGGTTTGACTGAATACACAGTGGACAACAGAGACTTTCATGTTGGGGACAATACATTTGAAATTTTCTGTCATGTTGTGAACAATGTTGTGATATATTTGCTATTGATGAAGGTAATTGTTTATAGTCGTCGACAGATATAACATCATGGTTACGTGAGGCTTTCGATGCATTGTGATATTTCAGACATTGGGAGCACAGTCCTTCATCACATTCAGGGCACCAGTATTCAGCATTTGTAGTTGTGTGCTGTGACTCACAAACACCACATAATACTTTGCTGGACGATGCCATTGTTCTACAAAATTGAAAAAAGTCCATAAGCCTTGCTATTGTTATTTTTTTAAATAGTTTCTTGGTGTGTTATACCACCACTATTGTTTTCTCAATTATATTCATAGTAATATGATTAACGACATTACATAATTAATTAATTAATTATACTATTGTCGAAAATGGCAGTTCATATAATAAAACACCGTGATTGAACAGTACATCGGTTTTTTTTTAAATAATATAAATAGAATTGAGAATGGAAACGGGGGATGTGTCAAAGAGACAACAACCCGACCAAAGAGCAGAAAACGCAGTGAGAAAATCCCGCACCCGGAGGCGGGCTTCAGCTAAAATTGACATGCTATAATGACAACTCTTACAAAACATTGCCGCATTCAGCCATTCACAGGAAAATTGTAAAATATTGTATAAAGTTGTACAGTAAAATTTTATTTATCAGCAGTTATGCTCTTGATTAAACAAAACTATTTTCAAAATCAGGCAAGGTTCATTTTAGGTTGGTACTCGGTATTTGATAAGTTTTACAATATTTGTATATTCCGAAGGCATACTGTATATTTTGCGGGGGAATCCACCTAGGTTTATTTTAACCCTTTGCAAGCGACATTTTTCGAATTAACGTAATAGCGTAAGTGGTATAATTCATTTACGTCGCGTAAGATTTTCAGGAAACGGCATTTCGTGACGCCTTATATATATCTGTCAATATGAAATTATGCCGTTATTAGATTAAATCTGAGGGATCCTAAAATATATGTTACATGTATAAGTAGTATTCGAGTAAAACAAGTTTGTAATTATTCTTTGGTGTGTTTGGAAAACTTTCTTTATCGTGTCTTAACGAGAAAAACATATGTCCCTAGCACGATCTGTCGACATAGGGTTAAAGGCGATATATGGTAAAAAAGTAGCACACTGATTTTTTTTTTATGGCTTCCTTGCATTAAGTAAGAGGTACAATTGAAAAAATTGGAATAATTTTTTATAAGATATTCGCTTTTAAATTTAAGATAGATTCTATTGTAATTTCAAGAGTTACCATACAGATATGTGCTTGTTTATTCTATTAGTGTTCACACAACATTCAAAAACTTTGATGAATAAAACTAACACTCTATAGATTTAGGGTATTTTTCCTGGTTTTTTCCCCATCAGGGATGCTCATACCGACAAATTTGAAAACTAGTGTGTATAAGTACTTGAATACGTAAGGAGCTATATAACCAGAATGGACATACAAAGAATTGTCAAATCTCACTGAGGTCAAATTTGCTTGAGGAAGCTGGAACCTTAGTTTTAATTATGTTTTAATTTGTCAATGAAGAACTTAAAAAAAGTAACTTGTATGTTATTAATCATGTCAGTACAGGAGCACTGACTTCATTAGTGATATTTCCCAATAATCCAGATTACATAAAGTCTTACCCCAGACAGAAGAACAACTTGAAAATCCAGATCAAAATAAGGTTTAAAAACAAATTTTATTTTTTGTGTAGTCACTTTTAGAAAGATCAGTATTGTATTTCAAGAGTCGCCACCATCAAATCCAAAATTGACGGTGGCAACTCTTCAATCACAGTCCTATTATTACTATTTTAGTGCAATACTCTTTAAGTGTTCAACATTAAACATTTTAAATATCTCGTAAACGTCGACTGCGAAAATTGTTGCCTATGACTCCGACGTCAACCGTTGAATTGATGGCAGACGTCATCTAATCAGAATCATCGTTACATGCCAAATTGCATTATAATTATTAATAACAAAGTATTACAACAGAATAAAGACAAAATATAATGAGTACATACCGTAAATTTTAAGGAATCGAGTGGAGTTATATAAACATAAGAACACAAACACGTCAAAAAAATAATATGATACGAAAAATGGCCACAGAAAAAAGTGTTTCTTGCAAGTGCTTGACGTTCAATAAACCTACGCACAATTTCGTTTGGTATTTTTGCAAAAACATGTAAAATATACCAATGAAAAAAAATCCAGTTATAGAATTGGTTTAGAACCCATAGAGTGACCAATGAGTCGTTTATTCTAAAATGAGGTGTTACATGTAGCAATGCATATGGCGATTAATCTTTTGTTTAATAGACCCTACTTTGCCAGCCTGTAACGTCTGACGCTCGCTTTGTATCAGGCGTATCTAATTTCAGGTATATTTACTGGGAATATTGATTATTTTCCCGTTTGTTTGTATTCCAAGGGTTAGGCTGTAACGGTAAACAGAGGTATAAAAAAAACACCAAGGGAGTCAATCAAACATATATGTCAAATAATAACAGACAACATCATGGCAAAAAAGTAAAACGAACAGCACATGCTGAAGACATACAACAGTCTACAACACACTGCAGAGAAAACAAAGATTGAGAAACACGAATTCAACCAAGAAAAAGAAAAAACATGGCTGAACTCCGGTGCTCACGAAAATTGAATCTTTTAGAATACTTTACCTCATTTGATGATTGAACAAGAAAGAACCAGGAAGGTTAAACGTATAAATAGATATGTGACGACACACTACATGTGACTCCAATAAAGTATTCATAAATTAAATAAAAAGGAAAAGATGTTCGATTGAAGAGAAAATCATCGTCCGTATGTCAATTTAATACATTATCCCGTGTCATGCTCATCATAATTAGTATAATGTGACGTTTGAATTACTAATTATATACAAAATCGATCAGTGGCGGATCCAAGGGGGGGGGGGAGGTGTAGAGGGCGTAAGCCCCTCTTTTGATCGCCCACAAAATAATTATATCATTTTTTCACGATTGATATGATTTTTTATGCATCAAAAAATTTTCGCATCGCTTCGCTCGGCAGTACATAATCACTTATGGAATTACGCCCCCTTTCAATAATCTGGATCCACCCTGTCGATTAAATACACACTTCAAATTTATGAGGAAACATTGGAAAGCTAAAATTTGAACATGAAAATATATAAGCAATCAATATTCATTTCATGAACTCGTTACAAAGATAGTCTAAACACAGAGTTAAAAAATTGCATTTCCAAAATTTAAAACCTCGAAAAGTATTATAGTCAGCAATGTTTTCAAACGCTACTTGTATTAAAAAAAACTACTGACACTATAGTCATCATTTTTATTTGGTTTTAAGAAAGACAAATGCTGCCTATTTACATTGAAATGTCAAGTAAGTAAATATTGTCCGTTTAAGTTATATAAAAACTTCAAAAAGATAATATTAAAAATCAGATTATTGAATCATGTTGCTTATTTTGACATTTATATTTATCTATGTAGTATACGAATTCAGACAATAAATTTAAGAATTTTTGTCAAAGTATTGACAAAAAAAAAATTCATTAGGTCTAATGTTAAAAAAACTGTGTGAATGAATTGACCGCAACTGGTCAGTTGTTCTATTCCAAACAACCTAATCTAAATATGAATGAAGATCAGGTCTTTCATTTGTATTAAAATTGAGAATGGAAATGGGGAATGTGTCAAAGAGACAACAGCCCGACCAAAGAGCAGAAAACCGCCGAAGGCCACCAATGGGTCTTCAACACAGCGAGAAAATCCCGCACCGGGAGGCGGGCTTCAGCTGTCCCCTAAACAAAAATGTGTAATAGTACAGTAAAAATGGACGTCATACTAAACTCCAAAACATATAAATGAACTAAAATTAAAAAACATACAAGACTAACAAAGGCCAGAGGCTCCTGACTTGGGACAGGCGCAAAAATGCGGCGGGGTTAAACATGTTTAGTGAGATGTCAACCCTCCCCCTATACCTCTAGCCAATGTTGACAAAACAAACACACAGCAATACGCACAGTAAAACTCAGTTTAAAAGAAGTCCGAGTCCGATGTCAGAATAGGTAACAAAAGAAACTAAGCAAAATGACAATGATACATAACTTAACAAAGGACTACTAGCAGTTACTGACATACCAGCTCCCATCCTCAATTAAACTGATTGAAAGATAATGTCTTCATCATATGAAAATGAATGAATGGTACTGCCAAAAGAGAAAGATACCAAGCTGACTTTCAAACTCGTAAGTGGACCACAAACTGACAATGACATGGCAAAAAACGAAAAACGACCAAACTGACAAACAACATTCTACAAAACACAACATAGACAACTAAAGACTTAGCAACACGAACCCCACCAAACACCGGGGCGATGCTCTGGAAGGGCTTGCAGATCCTGTTCCTCACATGACACCCGTCATCTTACTTCTTTAAAATGCATTGATAGGTAATACCAAGTTATTGTGGCCTCCTCCTGTACAGATTGGAATCTGAAATACATATTCACGTTAATTGACCTAATAGATGGCTTTTTTTATTGACAACAAATTCTGGAAGAAAATGTAGTATAACAATGAGGACAAAATGGGACTTGAATGAATCTTCCACATATCAATTAGGGATTTTTAACAATTTATTTTAGACGATTTATAGAACTCAAACTCACTGTTCACTATAAATGAAAAATCTCATTAAAAATAGACGATAAAATTGGATACTCCGAAAGTGTAAGTCATTCTTTAACCAGTCATGCGCCATGCATGATTATTCTGTATTGATAAAAAGAAAAATAGGAAAAGAGTGAATGCATACTACATAGTTTTCTGCAAAAAACATGATCATAAAATACTATGCTACGAGGCCTTCAATGAAAAGATATAAATGTCAATATCTCTTAGGTAAGGTCATGGCTTATATTTATTTTCCAACAAAAATATTCTTAACATTGCAAATTTAGGTAAAACATGTATATTTTGACACGATGACATAAAAAATGATATGTATGCACAACAGTTACCAGACTATATCGTACTATGCATTCATTAATAAAATAAAAATAATTTCGACGGTGTGAAGAATATAACAATTTGTCCCATTTCTGGGAAGAAATAATGACTTGCAGCATTTCTCCTCCTTTTCCATAAAGTTGATCTTCGGCTGTTTTAGGGTATTCTTTTAAGTCCACCTTTCGATTTTACTTTATAGCCGTTTATTTCAAGTCTTTCGATTTTTTAATTTCTTTTTTATTAAAGTTGATCCAAACATGGCCCTCGAAAGCATCATAGTTAGCATTCTTGTTTAGCTTTTTTCTTGTAAATTATAGGGATTTTTTTGTAAGAGGTGCGTTTAGATTTGCTGTCGTTTAGTTCGTGAGTTTTATTTTCTTCTTAGCTGTCGCAAGCACAGTGGTATATATGGGATGTAGGAAATGTTTCTACATATAAGAGGTAGAGCCAATGTTTCCATTAAATTATTTCACATCATAGCCATTTAAAAAACCCGTTTCGTGAAAGTAACAGTTATACAGACTTTTTTTTCTAAAAACCTTCACATATTTAGCTGATTTTTAGTATGTGAGTCTACTATGATTTGTTACAGATCTAATTTACGTTTGGTTTAGCTCTGTTGGTTTTTGCATAATTTATGGGCTTTGGACAAAATAGTCCCTTGTCTGGCCGTTTTTTTAATCTTTACTTAAATTCGCAATTTAGCAGCTTTCAGTTTATACAGTTTTTAACAACATAATGGTGTATTTCTGAATGTTTAACAAAATTATAAACGTTTGAATATAGACCAAATTGCAATTTTGATGGATTTTGACAAATATTGAGTTCTTTTCCAAAAAACTCATAAAGATATTCTTAACCAAAACAAATTCTATTTGATGTAGAGCCTTGAATTTTCTTTCAGATAAAAATTAATTCATATTGTTTAACGATGCCATTTGTTGCAAAGTTTTACTAACTTGCATGTTCCACTAAATAACGTTTTCAAAATTGCGCTTTAATAGCATTTTGTTGCATTCGTTTAATTTCTTTTATGTGTTTAAGATATATATTAAGTTATTTAAAAAAAAATTAAACAATTAATATTTAGACTCTGCAATATCCAAATCTGGTCCGTTTCAACGCCTTTTAGATTTTGATCGTGTGAGTGAAACAAATACAGGTGAAGTAGGTCCTTCTATATGAAATTTGCCTATACTATCCTTTTTATCTCAATAATAGTTTATAGAAAATGTAGATTCAACATCCAAACAAAAAGTCTGGTATTACACTACTGGATAGGTCATTATCAAACTCTTAGCGGTTTGGCACAAAGAGTGATCCGTGAAGCTGCATTGTGAAAAAATATCCATTTTTGTTTTATTTTCTTTGTGTTGATTTCGTATTTTTTTGTAGATATTCTTATGTTTTATAACCTGTTTCCTGGTGTCAACAAGCTTGCAATAATATTGACTTCCAAATGTCTGCACAAATTAAACATTATACAGTTCTCCCTCAAATGTTGCAGAGAACAGTTTGTGTTTGTGTGCCCCTCTTCATTCCACTCTATCACCAATATAAACAAATCTGTCAATGACATTGTACCGATGGCTTTCATACAAATATATGGTAAACAGTAACTACCCCCCCCCCCCCCCAAACCCAACCCAACCCAACCCAACAAAACACATGCTATTTGCATTGCATTATGCGGAATGACTAAACCTTGCCAGTTCTAAATGAGTTTTAGTTACCATAGGAAAGAAAGATATGACTAGTTTCTACAGCATTTACTTAAAAAAGGCATTCTGTTAAAAGTTATAAAGTACCCGATAATAATACTTAATAAATTTAATAAATCATATGCGTCCGTGGCGTTTCTCAGGATTATACAACAGGAACGCTCAACCCAATTCAACAAGAGTGCACACTGTGAAATGTCTCGCCTGCTTTATTGATCATTGATTTTATGTTGGTAGTCCTAATTATAAAGCTTTACTACAAGTATCACAAATACTTAACATGATCCAAGAAAATGAGGCCAAGGTCAGATAAACCAAACCGGAAATACATGTACACCTTACAGTCATTCCATACACAAAATATAGTTGACTTATTGCTTACAGTTTCTAAAAAACAAAATAAACCAGGAAAATTTAACATTGACCAATGAACCATGAAAATGAGGTCAAGGTCAGATGAACCATGCCAGACAGACATGTACACCTTATAATCAATCTATGCATTAAATATAGTTGACCTATTGCTTATAGTATCTAAGAAACAAACTTCACCATGAAAATTTAACATTGACCAATGAACCATGAAAATGAGGTCAAGGTCAGATGATACCTGACCGTCAGACATCTACACCTTACAATCTGAAGCAATAGATAGGCGGGGCTTCAGCTGGTATAATGTTATTTGAAGTTAAGGATAATGCAGAGTATAATGTATACAAGTTAAAGCCCCGCCCATCTATTGATTGCAGATGTCAATCTTAATTACAATGCTTGAGCAAACGTTTATGCAAACAAAGCAAGCAAGCCAACCAAACCTTTAAACTACATTGTACAAGCATTAGGAAAATAGCTCTAAACTGGTTTTTTTTGCCCTTTTAGAGATAAACTGATTCGTTTGAGCAATGAATTTAACTGGGCATATTTTCTTTTACCTAATATTTTGTTTTACTTCCTAATCATTGCCTTGAAAC